ATTTTATTAATCGCTGCATTGGCCGTTTACCCAGTCTGCCTGAATTTATTTTTTAGGTGCATCAGTCTTGAGCAGTTTGTGAGATGGCACAACGCCGCGTTTTTTGGAGCCTTTTCAAACAAAGTAGCATTTATCAGCCGACTCCTCACACATCAGCAGTTTCTTTTTACTTCGTAACTTGCGATCTGCAAACTCTTATGTGCAATAACTTGACTTCTGAATTTGTTGTTTCTCATGCTTTCTGTCAATACAAAGACTACCATAGTCCCCTTAATACACCCACTGTTTGAAACTTCATTGAAAAATGTGTAACATCATTCGTCCTGCCTTCTACATGTAGTCCATTTGAAAGGGGTCGTTTATTTGGGGTTGGGTGTTCTTGTTGTGCCCAGGGAGACGCTTTACTGGATAAAAAGCCGCTTAGTAGTACCGTAAATGTTGTCGCAGAGGGGATAAAATCAAAATCAGGTTTGACAGACTTCGTCAAGACTTAAAAGCGGTTCTCGGGCCTTCGGTATTCAGCCTCTGTCGCTGGGGAAGAGAATGGATAGAACTGTCCAGATCTGCTGCCGGGGATGACCGCGTGTGGAGAGGTACAGTTCGTGTCATCTTTGAGACCAGCTAGATCAGACATGATCGCAGCCGTACCAGGTAAAAGTAAGAAGTATCACGGGAAGAGGGCTGAGTGGCAATTTCTGGCGTCTATTTTTGCCAACCGTAATGGCCCCAAACCCAGCTAGTGCTTGACCATAAGAGAGGTGGCCATTCCACCCTGGCACTCTGCCGCACTTTGGGGCTCCAGGGCTTTCTTCTGAACGTAGCGGCCCGGTCTCAGTAACCACCGCGACAGACTGGCGAGCCTGGATCTGAGTAGCTGGAATATATTTCTAACGCCCGTGGATTTCTTTATAAAGCTTCGCTCGGTTGTGAGCGATGGCGAGTCCCGTCACGGATTAGATGAAAGGGGACGTCATGTATTGTGAGCCAGTGGGTCCTGTCCCATCGACCATCATCCTGACCTTGCCATGCTGCCGTGAATGTAGAAATCATGCCATTAACCTCTTTCTATATGTGAGAATCGTTTGATGTGGTAAAGAGGTACGGTTTGTGACAAAATAACCTTTTGTCTTTTCTGAGACAACGGCATCATATGCTGGAGACATGTGGGTTATATTTCGTTCTTGGAGAATGAATGGTATGCCACATTTTCGGGGTTGGATTTGCTGAACGGATGTTTTTATTGCGGACCACAATGGTTGCTATTCGAGTTCTGTGCATTTGCCTACTCTGGCAATTTTGTGGTCCGAGGACGTACAGTAGATTACATATCTGATGAAAGGTTGGTGGATGGGGGACTTTACACACATTTGAGGTTAATTATTTAGTTCATTGGGTTGACG